GGCGCACAATTGCGCTGTTAACGAAGCGTAACCGGCTCTAGGCGCACCGCCTCTCCTACCGAACTCCCGGCTATGCATAGATTTTCTGCCGGTTTAAGCGTGGAAGGTCTCCTCCACATCAGAACTGTGCGACCTCTAAAACCCGTCTGCGCGTTACCTAACTCACGTCCTCCTCCGTCTTTTCTTTTTCAAAGTCAACGGCGTGTCGATAAGGGTTGGAGGAGCCGAGATTGCATTAGCAGCTTATGAGCGAGCTTTTAGCCGGCTGGGCGGGCTGCTGGGAGATAACGGGAGCCGCCACAGGGAGGGTACAGACATAGGCAGCTAAACCGTACACCTAATCCTGCCGCACTTATGCATATCTCTCTGTATTTCATATTAATTCACTTTGGTTATGAACAGTTTATCTGTATAAGCTCTACCTTCGCTTAAGTTATGCCTGGCACGCTGTGACTCTTCTTAAAGCGGTTATCTAAAGAGTTATTTTGGAAGAAGAATAAATGCCTTGCAGCTGTGTAAATAATTTGTGAGATTGTGACAAAACGTTTTGTTAAGTGGGGAAACATGCGTCAGAAAGAAAGAAGCCCAAACAAAAAAGCAAGACACTAAGGATGACAAAAAGCATTGTTTAATAGGGAACAGAAAGAAGTCCTTGAACAAAGCGAAACATAAAAGATGATTAATTCTCATGCAGACACTGTCTGAATATGACTAATGTTTTGCCCCCCGGTGATGGCTATTGAATGTGCGAGAAGCCGGCTGTAAGGAGATAAATTGATCAGGCAGTTCAGGGGACTAGTTGTTAATTCCCAGGCTCAATAATAAGTCATTTCTGTGTTCAACACGGAGGAACCAGTCGGAGAATACCGAGCGACCTCTCTCGCGTCTCCCCCGTGTACGCTTCATAAAGTAATAACACCTCACAAATCAATACGCGCGGATTCAGGGGAGCGTATTTTATATCGGCGCTGTCCTGTGAGGGAGCGGGATAATTAAGTAATTGTTTTATCGCACAGACGGCTCCTGGCGGGAAGAGATAAGACAAGAGAACAAAATGTCATGTTTCGTGTTTCGGTCCTGAAAAAATCAGGGTTGGTAGGTAGGGATTATATCTTCTTTTTCTTTAGACTTTGGAGATCTCTAGTGACCCAACTAATATAATACACCTTAACAAAGTAAAACTTGCATGAGGATACTTATATTTTCAATGTCAATGTTGTACAACGTTTCAGCACTCAGGTGTCAGATCATGGAGCTAGAAAAGGCCCATCACCCTTGCATGGGTCATCATCCAATGTATACTGCATCTTTAGTCGTAAGAAGCCATCTTGCAGTTGCATTCAGTCTTTCTTTATTTCCTTCCACTGTGTCTTCTGTCTTGCAAGCTCTCTTAGCTCAGGAGCCCTCCCAAAGAAAGGCTAGGGTCGGTCGGGAAACAGGAAACACAACATTTTTACCTTGGCCTAACGGGAATCCAGAGTAAGCGTAGCGTGTCTGAGGGGAGAACCTTGCCGATGGGTTTTACTACTGGAGACGAATAAATGGTCAGGGCAGTTCAAGGAGACACCGTGCCCTCACATCAGTACAGCCGCCCTGTGAACACTAGTTAGTACCGCCAGCTAACCTCTGCCCTCACATCAGTACAGCCGCCCTGTGAACACTAGTTAGTACCACCAGCTAACCCTCACATCAGTACAGCCGCCCTGTGAACACTAGTTAGTACCGCCAGCTAACCTCTGCCCTCACATCAGTACAGCCGCCCTGTGAACACTAGTTAGTACCGCCAGCTAACCTCTGCCCTCACATCAGTACAGCCGCCCTGTGAACACTAGTTAGTACCGCCAGCTAACCTCTGTCCTCACATCAGTACAGCCGCCCCGTGAACACTAGTTAGTACCGCCAGCTAACCTCTGCCCTCACATCAGTACAGCCGCCCTGTGAACACTAGTTAGTACCGCCAGCTAACCCCTGCCCTCACATCAGTACAGCCGCCCCGTGAACACTAGTTAGTACCGCCAGCTAACCTCTGTCCTCACATCAGTACAGCCGCCCTGTGAACACTAGTTAGTACCGCCAGCTAACCTCTGGTCTCCCTCTGTGATTCGGTCATCAATTTTAACTCAGTATAATCATTGCTCAACGCTGAATGAAAGCAACTGACACTTGGCTCCTTGGCGTATATAGAAGCTTCATATATATAGTCTCACCTTTATGTTAATTGTGTCTTTGTAATATATTTTGTCTGACCCTTACCTCTTCCCTCATTATCTTAATGAAAAGCAGCCTACAGGCTGGTTTGAGCGTCTCATTAATAAAGCATGGTTCAAAGAAACAAACATTTTACGAAGCTTGTCCAATGAATTGCTTGTCCTTAGGCACTTATTTCTATGATTTATGATTGTTATTATTCGCCTTTGTGGGTAGCTAATACTCTGCCATTCCCAATTAATAAAATCTGAATGAAATCTGTGACGTTAGGAAGCATATTACCTTGAATGTGTATTGTCCTGGTTTTATATGGGACTTCTACAATCAATTGCTTGTCTTGAGTCACTTATTGCAATACAATTTTGCTATTTGTCGTCATTGTTGACATTCTTCACTGCCATTCTCAATAAATGAAATACGGCAACCTCAAGGCAATCTGAAGAAAGGTTCTGACGTTGGGGAGAACCTTACCCCGAGTTGCATATCATAGTAGAGCATACAGAATCAATTACTTAACTTTATAGTCACTTCTTTCAGTGATATATATTTGCTATTTGTTGACACCAACTAAGCTGCCATTTCTAATACGTGCGATCTGAAGAGAGGTTGTTGAGACGTTATAAAGAAGCTTACCTCGAACTTTTGGTGACAGATTATGGTAAAGATTAATATATGTATAGTGTCTTAGTTTTTATATGGTACTTCTACAATCATTGGCTTGTCCTATAGAGTCACTATACGTTTGTTATTTTTCATCGTTGTTGAAAGCGGCTACGCTGTCGATGTCATTCTTAATTAAAGCAACATGACAGCCTGAAGGCAACCTGAGGATAAGCCCTTACGTTAGGGAGAACCTTCCTTACCTCGAATTTTTGGTGACAGATCATGGTAGAGCGTATAGAATCAATTGCTTTTCCATAGTCACTTATTTAAATACATGTTGATATTTTTTCGTCTTTATCGACGCCTACTACAGTACTGCTACTGATTTACCCAATGAATGAAATATGACAACCTGCAGGCAATCTGAAGAGAGAAACTGTTACCTTAGCGTTAGGGAGAACCTTCCTTACCTCGAATTTTTGGTGACAGATCATGATAGAGCATATACAATCAATTACTTACCCTAAGCCACTTATTTCAGTGATATATGTTTGCTATTTGTTGACACTAAGCTGCCATTTCTAATACATGCGATCTGAAGAGAAGCTGAGACATTAGAGAGAACCTTACCTCGAATGTTTGGTGAAAGATCATATACAATATACAGATACAACATATACAATCAAGTACTTGTCCTTAGTCACTTATTTCAGTGATATATATTTTCTATTTGTTGACACCCACTAAGCTACCATTTCCAATACCTGCGATCTCAAGAGAAGCTGAGACGTTAGGGAGATCCTTCCTTACCTCGGATTTTTGGTAACGGATCATGGTTAAGATTATGTATAGTGTCTTAGTTACTTCTTACAATGATACATGTTTTCTATTTGTTGACACCCACTAAGCTGCCATTTCCAATACAAGCGATCTAAAGAGAAGCTGAGACGTTAGGGAGAACCTTCCTTACCTCGAATTTTGGTGACAGATCATGGACATGGTAGAGAATATACAATCCATTACTTGTCCATAGTCACTTATTTTAATGATATATGTTTGGTGTTTTTCGTCTTCGTAATCAGCTATACTGAATGCGATCTGAAGAGAAGCTGAGACATTAGAGAGAACCTTACCTCGAATTTTTGGTGAAAGAACATGAAGCAACATATACAATCAAGTAGTTGTCCTTAGTCACTTATTTCTGATCAGTGGTATATATTTACTATGTGTTGACAGCCACTAAGCTGCCATTTCTAATACATGCGATCACAAGAGAAGCCTGAGACATTAGGGAGAACCTTGAAGTTCTTTACCTCGAATTTTTGGTGACAGATCATGGTAGAAGCATAAATGTTGCCTTAGTTTTCATAATGGTCTTGTACAATACATTGCTTGTCCTTAGTTACTTATGTCAATGATATATGTTTGGTGTTTTCATCTTTGCTGACACCTACTACTCTGCCATTTCCAATAAATACGATATTAAAGGAAGCTAGTATGAAGAACATTAGAGAGAACCTTACTTCGAATTTTTGGTGACAGATCATGGTTAAGATTATGTATAGTGTCTTAGTTACTTCTGACAGTGATATATATATTCTATTTGTTGACAGCCACTAAGCAGCCATTTCCAATACTTGCGATCTGAAGAGAAGCTGAGACGTTTGGGAGAGCCTTCCTTACCTCGAATTTTTGGTGACATATCATTGTAGAGCATATACAATCAATTGCTTGTCCATAGTCACTTATTTCAATGATATATGTTTGGTGTTTTTCGTCTTCGTTAGTAGCTACAATGAATGCGATCTGAAGAGAAGCTGAGACATTAGAGAGAACCTTACCTCGAATTTTTGGTGAAAGAACATGACGCAACATATACAATCAAGTAGTTGTCCTTAGTCACGTATTTCTGATCAGTGGTATATATTTACTATGTGTTGACAGCCACTAAGCTGCCATTTCCAATACTTGCGATCTGAAGAGAAGCCTGAGACATTAGGGAGAACCTTGAAGTTCCTTACCTCGAATGTTTGGTGACAGATCATTGTAGAGCATGTCAATCAATTGCTTGTCTTAAGTCACTTATTTCAATTTTGTTTTTCATCTTTGTTGACACCTACTACGCTGCCATTTCCAATAAATGCGATATTAAAGGAAGCTAGTTTGAAGAACATTAGAGAGAACCTTACCTCGAATTTTTGGTGACAGATCATGTGTGTATCGCTGCCAACAGTCTCCCGAGTTGCGATACAATATCCCCCGAACGGATCAATCGTGCTGGTTGTACAGATGTACTCCACTAATCAAGCCCAACATGAAGCGCGCTGCCCTCTCACAACCACTCTCCGGAGAGGCCGGCTCTGCGGCTATTATTCCTCAGCCTGTTTATGCTTCTAACCATCAAACTGGAGACTGTCGTCGCGGCAATCCTTGTCGTCAATCCTCGCCACAGCAGCACGGTACAGTCTGTCCTTTCCATGGCCTCCGTTCCCAATCTCCTAACCAGTCGCTATAACTCGGACCTGTTTTCTCCTCAGCTGTGCATCGCAGAAAAAAAAATTCAAAGCCAGAATCCTCCGACGAGTGTTTCGTCATGAAAGCAGCATTCTCGCGCCGCGCGCACGTTTAGTTCCAGCTGAGCGGAGCTACTCGCGTTGTTAATTGGTGAGGGCTTATTATTACCTTCAGCGAGCCGCTAGCACGGGTACATCCCAGCCCGTCCGCGTTACGTTCTCCCCGGCACGAATCCGGCTCGCTTATCCCCCTCCATCCGTCATGCCTTATCTCGGAGTACCAGTTGGCCGGGGATTACCGGGGAGCCTGGCCCCTGCTCGATGAGCGGGGCTCGGCGCGGAGGAATTGCAGATAACTCACACACTCGCGCTTTAAGGCTTTTACGTTTACCACGACGAGAGGAGTTTATATCGCTGATGATGCGCGCACACAACAGTCATGGTAAACACACAGGGAGCGCTGCGGTAAGGCTGGATACGTCAGTTGACTAGGGAGATGTCAGTCAGGACCACGGGTAGTCAGTAAGAGGAAATGCCCTTCTGATGAGGCATTGTGCACACATACAGGTAGTGCTGAAAGGGACGTAATCCCAGGGAATCATTCACAACCGACCCCTCGCTGAAATATACACAGACGTAAGGCTGTCAGCAGCTTCTTTGGCTCTTATATGTCGTCTTGGTAGACAGTCTAAGACAGGCCTCTGCAGCTGCTATGCAAGGTGTTGTAGTCCTGAAGGCGGCGTAATCCCAAGGAATCAGTCATAACCAACACTCGCTGAAAAATACACAGACTAAATACACAGACTATCAGCTCCTCAGCTCCTTCGGGCTCTTATATATATCATCTTAGAAGACAGTCTAAGACAGGCTTTTCAGCTGCCTTGCAAGGTCTTTTCTTGGCAGTGTCACTAGTGGCTGGTACGTCCGATGTTGGCTCTTCAACAGAATCTGGTCGGTGTTAGCTCAGTGTATCCCATCCGACTCGCACCGAGGGTTTACATTGAGTGGTGTAGAGTACAGCCGCTAGGCTAGCCACGTATACTTCTGCATAATATTCCCCTCACAGTCCGCCCTGTCAGCGTTTTATCGCTAAACACTCTTCATCCGACAAAATTGCACCTCCGTCATCATCACGCTCACGGAGGAGTGCGTCATTCGACACTTCTTCTCCTTCTCCTCAAATTGCGTTCCTTTTTTCCTGTCGTCCGGCCCTGCCGAGGCCACGTCAGCTGCATGCCCGCCATGTTTTATTGATGGGTGTACTTCTCCGGGTGAACTGAACGCCGAGACTCGCGCTCCGATAATTCAATGATGCCGCGAGTTCCGACATCCATCAAGCATTATCAGGCACTAACGGCTGCCGCGGCGAGTCTGCAACTCATCTGGTCCAAGTAACTCTGCCGACGTGCTTCGTGTTTCCTCTCTCCGTGACTTGGTACATGCAGGAACACGGATATGCAGGGCTGCGTTCAGTTCTGCCAAAAAGCCTTATCTATTCTTCGCGGTTACTATATAGAATCTTGACAGATCATTTCACATGATAGATATGCACAAGAAAATCATTGGCGAAAAGTAATGGATGCTACCTGAACGTCTGACAGTTTTCATAACTTACCAGGTTGCTTGAGTAACAGTTCCCATTATATGGATGACGACCCAAACGTTGACAAATAGCGTCTAGTTTTATCCACAGGCTCATGTAATATCTTGTCGTACACGTACACGTATAAGATGTGTATAACGTTACATAGATACGTAAAGAAGTAAAAAAAAAGATCTAAGGGACTACAAGAAAAGGAGCCATACTGACCAAGTCGTTTTTGATATTCTTCAAGTCATCAAAGGTATCTATTATTTTGGCCGTTTGTCGTGTTAAAAGGAAATCTACTTGGGCTATACTTATTTACTCACATACACTTGCTGAGTACATTTCTTCTATCTCTTCTATTGGGGACTGTGTGTAGTTACTATAGTCTCTGAGGAAGTTGATAAACACCCTCCTCTTCCTCTTCCCACCCGTTCTTCCTGGGAACTCCAGAGCACCAACATTTTCTCCTGTTGATGAACGATCCCGAGTCACGATCCGGTTTGACCTAACCGGTTAATGAAGCCTCGTTATTTGGGACCTTTGACAAATTCGGTATACTTGTGTCAAAAAGATCTAAGGGACAGTCCCGACTACAATGTAGGGAGTCATAATGACCAAATCGTTCTTGACATTCTTCAAGTCATCAACGTTATGTATTATTTTGGCAGTTTTTCGTGTTAAAAGGAATCTGCTTGGGCTACACTTATTTACTGATTTATACTTTTCTCTAGTACATTTCTTCTATCTCTTCGTCATCTCTTCAATAGTATTGGGGACTGTAGTTGCTAGTGTCCCCGGGGAATGTTGATGAATATACCCTATTTCCACTGGTTGTTCCTGTGGACACCACCGCGCCAACGTTTTCCCCGATGACGAACGATCCGGAGTCACGATCCGGTTTGACCTAACCGGTTAATGAAGCCTCGTTATTTGGGACCTTTGTTCCGGTCCTGACCCCTGGGGTTGGCTGATTAACGAGGCCTGCCCCCGCTAATTGCCTGCGCCGATCCGCGATGCGAGCAGATCCGACCTCCCGTCCCGGGGGAGCCGGGTCTCCGCAAGTCTGATTAATTACTCCGCCGGCCATGTGGCACATTCTATCGGATGTAAAATTAGATGAGAGTGGTATCTATATATAACATGGGGGTTTAGCTACTGGCAAACCTGTCTATAATGCTCAAGGGACAAGGAAATAGTTAGTGGAAGACAGGTGGCCGCAATAAACAGGGTTACATGTACAGAAATCTGCAGCTCAATGTAGTTGTTGAAGCAGCCTCTGGCCGGCCAGGGATGTAAAATTAGATGAGAGTGGTGTCTATATATAACATGGAGGTACAGCTACAGTCAAACCTGTCCATAATGCTCAAGGGACAGGAAAATGGTTAGGGGAAGACAGGTGGTCATAACAGACAGGGTTCGTCATACGATAATGTACACAAACCTGCAGCTTAAGGTAGTTGTTGAAGCAGCCTCTGGCACATTCTATCGGATGTAAAATTAGATGAGAGTGGTATCTATATATAACATGGGGGTCTAGGTGCAGTCAAACCTGTCTATAATGCTCAAGGGACAGGAAAATGTTTACTGACAGGTAGCCACTATGGACAGGGTTAGCCATATGATTATGTACTAAAATCTGCAGCTCAAGTTAGTTGTTGAAGCAGCCTCTGTAAAATTAGATGAGAGTGGTATCTATATATAACATGGGGGTCTAGCTACAGTCAAACCTGTCTATAATGCTCAAGGGACACGGAAATAGTTAAAGCAGACAGGTGGCCACAACATGTACATCATGGCTTTAAGGTCATTCTTTAAAAGAGATGGAGGGCATAAATTTTCTGCAACTTTCTGTAAATCTAAATGGCCTGAAATACGCTGATGAGAGTGGTATCTATATATAACATGAGGGTTAGCTACAGTCAAACCTGTGTGTAATGCTCAAGGGACACGGAAATAGTTAAAGCAGACAGGTGGCCACAACATGTACATCATGGCCTTAAGGTCATTCTTGAAAAGAGATGGAGGGCATAAATTTTCTGCAACTTTCTGTAAATCCAAATGGCCTCTTTAGGACACTGAAATACGTTTATGAGAGTGGTATCTATATATAACATGGGGGTCTAGCTACAGTCAAACCTGTTTGTAATGCTCAAGGCACAGGGAGATTGTTAAAGCAGACAGGTGGCCACATGATTCGTCATATGCTGATGTACTGTGTTCTGCAGCTCAGGGTAGTCGTTGAAACAGTCTCTGGCTGCTATTAGTCACTTTCTTTTATTTCAATGAAATTTGAAGAATGTCTTTTTTGTTGAATTTTACGTACGATCTTGTCTATCACTAGTATGCTCAAGGGGCGAGAATAATGAGACAGGAGACAGGTGGTCACTATAGACAAGATTCGTAATATGATGATGCACTGTGTTCTGCAGCTCAGAGTAGTCGTTGAAACAGCCCCTGGCTGCAATCAGTCACATTCTTTCGTTATCGATGAAAGTTTGACGAAATTCATTTCTGTTAAATTACACGTACGTATTTCTATAATGCTCAAGGGACAATAATATGGTTTCACAAGACAGGTGGCCACTATAGACAGGATTCTTCATATGATGATGAACTGAAACCTGCAGCTCAGTGCAGTTGTTGAAACAGCCCCTGGCTGCCATCAGTCACTTTCTTCCGTTCCACTGTGTCTTCGTCCGTGGAAGCAACCTTAGGATTCGTCATACTTGGCTCAAAAATAAGGGACTACAAAGATCAAAGCGACCAGATGGATCTTTATATGCAGAAATGGTTATCAGTGCAGGTTTGACGAGTGGTTTTCTCGTAAAACATCAATGTCTTTCATTGACCACATGTACGAGCCTGCCTTCATTTCAAGCAGATTTTTATGTGGCCCCTTCCCCCTTCTTCCTCAACAATGAGACTAGAATTAGCTTGTGAGTTCATCTACATCAGGGCTTTACAACCAATCCTTAAAAGAAATAGGGACGGGGCATAAACTTTGTGCAACTCATGCAAATCCTAATGGACTCCGAATTACGTTGCAGGAGTTGTAATAATATCGATGTGAGCTAAACATGTGCTAGACAGTGTAGGTAATACAACATGAAGTAGATCAATTGTCTACATGCTAGTTAATCTACTCGTGTTAGCGCCATCATGATTCAACAAACCGGCACGAAGGAATTAGACATGGTTATTGCCCATTGATAAGTTTCTGTAAAATATTCCTTGATTTCGGGGCAACATCACGTTTTCAGTACAAGAATCATCCGTCTTGTCTTATTGAGAGTTGAAATTGATCTAGCTGG